ATAGTATTTGTATTTGCAAATAAAGATCGCTGTGTTATTACTGTTAAAAATACCTACAGTATATTCAGATAAGAGATAGACCGGATGTAAACAAAAGGTTCGGGTGATTTTCACGCTAACGCCGCCGTCTCGACGTAAAACAGGAGCCCTCATTGGTCAATTCGCAATTAAATGCCTATGCCGAGCGGCAGAGCAGTCGTATCAAGGCAGAGTCACATTCACCTTTTCTGAGCCAATGACAAGTAAACATCGCAAAAGTATTGTTAAATCATTGGATGAAGCTGATAAGCATGCGATTAGGAGGAAAGTGCATGAATTCTTCTTTAGGAATGAAATACCTACTATAGATAAAGTACTGCAGGAGGCAAATGGAGATACAACGTTGCCAAATTTCAAACGATCAACTTTCCATGCGTTACTGAAGCATTTAAATTTCAAATGGAAAAAATGGGGTCGTAATAGTTTACTACTGGATAGAGAAGAAATTGTGCTATGGAGGAGGGATTATTTAACAAAAATTGGGAAATATAGAAATCAAAACAGGAAGATTTATTACCTTGATGAAACGTGGGTAAACGCAGGACACACTACAAGTAAAGTATGGGTTGATGATTCCGTAACTTCATCCAGGAGGGCCTTTCTAGATGGACTGTCCACCGGATTAAAAAATTCAGCAGGTAAATACGAGCAATAGACAACAATCGGATGTTTTTCAAACCTTGGGAACAAGGTTCTAAACATTAATTCCAGGGGGCAGATAAAACATATTACAAGTAACAAAACTTTTATAACTTTCGATAAAATGCGTGGATGTTTTATTGTCATTTTCATTTGTTAGAACTTTTTAAGCCATGTTTTTATGTGTTTTCGATATTTCAATAATTTTTTAATATAATCTTAAAATATGTCGAATATTATAAACTTAAAAAAAGTTACTAAGTTTTATATTGTGTACCGTTCCTAATATTTCTAATCATTTTAATTCGTACTTTAAGCTTTATAAAGTTATAATTTGTTAATATTAATATTTGCGCGTATTTCAGGTTCCTGATCATTCATTTTTTAAAGGTTTATAACTTTAAATTAAATTGTGAAGCGCTGAGTAATCATACGACGTTCAATATTCTTTCTTTCAATATGACTAAATAATCCCAATTATAGCAATCTGATACTCATGTCTCAATGTTTTTTCGCTGAATGTGATGAAAACATTTGAAAAAGGTTCGCTTATTGAAATAAATCTACACCAGTCAGTACTTCGATTTCCAGGTAAAGGGAAAAGGCTCATTATCTGCCATATTGGCAGTGAGGATGGATTTGTTGTTGACGGTCTGTGGTGCTTTTAGTCTAAGAAAACTGGAGATTACCACGAGGAAATGAATGGCGAATCGTTTGAACAGTGGTTTTCAAAAATTTTACCGAACTTAGAGGAAAACGCAGTAATTGTGTTGGATAATGCGCCTTATCATTCTCGAAGAATGGAGAAGGTCCCAACAACGGCTTCAAGGAAAGTTGATGTTCAAAATTTGCTCCGCTCGAAAAATATCAACTTTGAAGAAGCAATGCTGAAAGTACAATTATTAAGAATTGTCAAGGATCACAAGGCATAATATCAAAAATACGCCATTGACGAAATGGCAGCAAGTCAAAATAAAACTGTGCTCCGTTTACCTCCATACCATTGCGAGCTCAATCCCAGAGGTTAAAAATTATATAGCTAAGCACAATACAACTTTTAAATTTTGTGACCTCAAAGGACTTTTCAAAGAAGCACTAGAATTAATAACAGCGCAAAAATGGGAAAACTGTATTAAGCACGTGAAAGACAAAGTTGAAAAGAGAATGTGGGAACTGGACAATATTTTAGAGGAACAAGTCGAGCCATTCATTATTGACGTTGGTGCTCCAGGCAGTAGCGATGATGAAAGCTCATCAAGCTCATCTTTCCAATAAAATATGTCGTTCATCAAATTCGGTAAGTTATAAGTAATTATAAAGCTACTGTATTTTTTAATTAATTATTGACATTTTTGAACCCATTTTGGCAAAACCTATTCAAGAATCTACTTTCTGACAATGTTCAACCATGCACATTTTTTTACGTTTTGAACGTTTTAATTTGGTTACATATTTACCTAGAAATCAAAAAATATACTAATCAATATTCTAAAAGCAATTTTAAGAGATATACGATTATTTTTAATTTAGGCTAATTTAAACGCCATTTTGAGATTATATTCGACTGTATTTCACCAAACATCAGGCGGCATCCGAAGCTGGAAATCGAAATCGAATCGAAAATTTTGAAACCCTTATGTATATTTGCATCATTATATATTTCTTACCCCAACCCCACATGATCCTATATCCATCACCAATCGTATACACATTGAATTGTGCTAATTTACTACAAAGTTACGCAAAGCAGCATCTACTATCTAAAATATGTACTGCGTGACTCTTAATACATCCCCGCCGAATGTAACAGCGTTCGATGATCACGTGGTCTTGTTTATGTCCGGTCTATCTCTTATCTGAATATACTGTACTTGGTTACGTTTGTGATAACAAGGCAATCCAGTGAAACATTGCTACTAAAGCGATTAATTTGCTGAGTCTACAGGTTTGTATTTAAATGGTTTGCCATGAACACTGTAACAACCAACAAAATACTTTAAGGGCCGATTTCACCAACATTATATATTATGGACCAATAGGAAAATACCTTATTGAAATGCAATTTGACAGAAGCTGTCAAAGGTCTTAAAATATCAGTGATTTCTATTAAAATGTTGAATAAAATCGTGAAAATTCGACTGTATTATAAACAAGACAACTTTTTGATTCCAACATGATGCTTTTGTACAGAGAAGACAGGACAACTTTCATGTATTTTGATTTTTGTTATAGGTGTACATTTGACCATCGGTTATCCCATCAGCGAATGGGAATGGGAGAAATAATAGGTCGATTTTCTAGATGTTAAATTTGGCAGCAGCTTTGGTCGTTTGTTAATTCATGGCAATCTCGAAATTTGTTGTTCAATATACTGTGTGTATATGTGATCATTATAGCTACACATACCTGTTGAATTGTGCGGATTTGCAAGAAAATAGAATATAAAATGTATTCCAACAATTCCTCATCTCTCTTTACATCATAATAGAAATCATTTGCTATAAATTCATGGGTTAATGAATTTCTTCATAGCAATCAAAACAGTATGTCGTCCCCCATCCTAAAACACCTATATGTGTAAAACATGTTAATCCCTACATCTCCGAGGTGCATAATGCAATTACGGTAGACATGGACCTAAAATTATTAGTAATTACTAAAAAATAAGAGCTAAAAATAATTATAAATAAATAAAATATTGGAGGTTAAGGTTTTTGACTGGTGACTGGTGGGGATACAATATAGGGATGGCGACGATAGACGATACATTAATGTATCGAAAACATCGATACATCGGACGTAGAACATCGATCTTTACGCATCGATGGTTTCATGACGATATATCGATATCGAGAGGAATCATAAACATCCGTAACCGTATACCCCGAGTCTATCCTCAAATGTGCTACCATCTCTAAGCGAGGACTGGTACCTTCGAAATTGAAATGCCAAAAAGCTATTTAGGTGTTTAGTAGTATTTGAATATTATCATTACAGACGAGCATTGAGCCACTGAGTGGCCACTGAGCACTGTAGTCTCTTCTTCAGTCTGTACGTCCCCAAGGGATAGAATAAATAAGACTGAAAACAGCACGTTTAATGATTTTCAGTTCTCAGAGAAAGATTTTCCCCTGCCGGCCCTTGACATCGTTTCGAAATACGCGACACGACATGAGAGTTGTTTAATATTGTTATGGGAGCAACTTTAGGATCCAAGGTATTAACCCTCCATCGCTCGCACCGTTAGAAAAAATCTAACATTTTTTAATTTTTCTCATAAATTTGAAATTTTGCGGCTTAGCAGGCCTACCATCTAGGAATACTCCTTCAAACTAATCTACTATGTGAATCTGTGGTCGTGGGGAGGAGCTATGTTGTTCTAGTGCCGCAATCGCATAATGTTAGTTCCAGTCTAGCACGCGAGTGATGGCGTTCGGCCGCGGGTTAGATAAACAAATTGCAAACAAGCTTATTCACCGGGATTTTACGTAACAATTGACGAAATGTTGGAGGCATTTCGGGGGAGATGCCGATTTTGACAATACATAGCCAACAAGCCCGCCAAATACGGCATCTATGGGTTAGTAGACGCCAGAACATTTTGACATCAAATCTTGAAATCTAGGCGGGTAAACAATCAGAGGGACCTAAAAAATTACGCAGCGAGCGTTGTATTGAGACTTATACAGCCAATTAGTGGTACAGGAAGAAATGTAACCACTGACAATTATTTCACCTCAGTGCCATTGGCTAATAGCTTATTAGTAAACCATCGACTAACTACAATAGGAACAATTCGCAAAAATAAGCCTCAAATTCCTCGAGAACTTCTAGATGTGAAAAATAGACCAGTAAAAAGCAGCATGTTTGCATATGGTGAAGACTCTGATGAAAACCCCAATAAGTGCCTTCTTGTTTCATATGTACCAAAGCGAAACAAAGACGTGCTGTTATTATCAACCCTGCATGATGATAGTAATATCAACGATGATACTGGAGATGCTTTCAAGCCCGAAGTTATTACAGACTATAATCTTACGAAAGGAGGCGTAGATGTGGTCGACAAAATGAAATCTGAATATTCAACAGCACGATTCAGCAATAGATGGCCATATACTGTATTCTGTGGGTTACTGAATATATCAACCATCAACAGCCAAATAATCTATCGAGAGAATACAAACAATATTATTACCAGAAGACAATTTATATCGGAACTTAGTAAATTGCTTGTCATGCCTCAGATTCCAGGTCTGCCTTATCTACTTAGTCAAAAGATTAGAAACATAACTGGAGAAAGACCAACCCCAAATAGAGACCAAGCCACTCAAGCCAAAATGAGATGTGAATTCTGTCCATTGAGAAAAAACAGGTTCACTCAGAGAAATTTTTCAACCTGTAGATCACCGATATGCAAGGAACATACAGCAATAACTTCATTGACCTGTCGTGAATGCTATGGACGTAACGAGAATGTTTAAAGTGCGTAAGTGTTTTGTAAATCATTCATGTAAACGCTTTCAATATATACCCTGCATTTATTTTTTTAGGGTTTTCTTCAGCTCTAGAGGATTCCAGAATGAAACATCAGAAGAAGAAACCTTCAGTTCAGAAATTTTAGATGAAGAATTTTCAGTGTTTCGTTAGTATTTTTGTTATAGTTTACAACAATAATTTTTCACTAATGTATAGCTTAACAGTATAAGTAATACTATACTTGACAACATAAACATTTAATTTAAGTAAAAATAGCATTTTTATTGAACATCTGAATGTTAGATAAAATCTAGCACGCGAGCGATGGTGTAATAAAATGAGGCGCGAGCGATGGAGGGTTAACTAAAGTAAAATATTTTAAACACAAAAACTGCGCTAGTTTTATCAGAAGAAAATACTATATCTCTGAGCCACAGAAGCAAAGCGAATCTCAGGCTTTCGATTCTCCCATCACCAGTGTGATGAAATGACAATTTGTCCCTTCTTGGATTACTTGAAGAAGTTATGTGCTTTCCAGTTCGTTTCATTAAGTTGCGTTCAGTTCTAGGAACTAGTTCGTGAACCAACTACTTTACGCAACAATACCACAAAAAATATATATACAGAAGCAGAGCAGATATTCCAGTCTTTCAGTCGAACGTAAAAACGATTCAATTCATATTTTTTAACCGTTCCAATACATTCCACTGATCGCAAATGTATTCTCCCATCACTAACATTATGAGACACTAATTTCAAATGTCAATTCCGATCTCCTTTGGTCTATTCTCCTTCTCGAACGTCACTGTATTCTATGTTCTGTGATCACTTGTTTTGTTATGTGTGAAAAATGGAATTTTTTAACAACAAATTTCGATGGTGCGACCGATTATACACTGAAATTAAAACAAAAACTGCAACTGCAATTGTATGTATGAATGTTGAAACTGTTGAACAGTTTCGGACCAGTGGGGTTAAAATATCGTTGAGGAACTGGAAAGAAGTGCATGAATGTGTTGAAATGCAACACCTTGAGCTTTTTCATGTAAGGGTTTGGAAGTGCAAGTTTGCAAATATAGGATAAACTATAAGCACACAGTAGGTGATATAATCACATATGGATTACAAAAGTTGCAGTAATCATGGAAAAACCTTCAGCTAATCTGAAAAAATTGATTTTAGTCAGACATCAAGCATTTTTAAAAATTTTGGCTCAGTTTTACATAATTCCATAATATTTAATAAACTGAAAAGATTTCAATGGCAAGCTGTCACTTCATATTTTACAGTGTTTTGTTTTGAATACTTTGATGCTATTTGCTACCAAACATTTGACGGAGAGATCTTGAGGCTGATTGGGTATATTTAACGGACTGCTTGGTACTCGTACCCTATTGGTGCAGAATAATGGTTTGTTAAATTATGAAATCCACCCTAAATCGATTTTTTATGAAACGTTTGACGCATAATGCTATCTTTCATTTGAAGCTGTTACTTAATGGTGTCACCGAACGATGGAGGCCAAAAATAATGGCCTCAAAATTACTCAATTTCAATGAAATGTTAAAGCACAATGTGCAAGGATATCTAGGGTAATATATCAGAAATGTTACCTTTACGCCTTCACTGTTCTACCTAAAACAAATGACACGAAATAAATCTTGAGGAGTTTTATCCGAAAGATCTCTTAATTTTTGTCTCCTCCTTTCTCCGTCCTCATTGTTCGTCTTCTGTAAGTGTAAATTTTAATAATTTGGGTAGGGTACGAGCTTGCAATAAACTCAGTCACCCCTGTCCCTTTTTATGATCATAATAAAAAAGTAATTTCCATTAATTACACCCATCTGACAGTGACATCATTAATTATAGAGAAAATAAATTAGTTGGGTGAATTAATGGTTAGAGTCGAAGCGTAAATCAAAGGGAAATGGCGGTTGACGTGTGAGAGAGAGGAAAATGTATTACCGGTTGAGCAGGGAGCTGTACAACCTATGTATATGGTTTTTATTGCAATCTAAATTGATGTGATTTGAGGTCTAGGTGGTTGGAGGTCGCCCAGTGAGGAAATTATAATCAGTATTCTAGATTCAGTATTCAGAAAAAATGCATTGTAGGCTTCAGGTATTTTGCTTCCAGTTGATAGCTATCATCCTTCGCTTGATATGTTTTTTCTATGGAAGATGAATTCGGCAACTTTGATGTTAATGCAAGTCCTGAGTACAATTATAGAAGACTTAACGTGCACACATTGTATAACGATATTGCTGCTATATACTTCACTCCTCTGTATTTCCTTGGTAACATCACCGAAGCATGTCATCAGTTCTATGAAATACTATTCTCGAAATCTTCGAAGAAACATAAAAATTAGCATTGATATTGCATTTCAAATGTATAACACTAAAATTTAACAGGGCATAGCTACTAACCCTCCAACATTTTGGTCTTTTATGGATTCTTTCAAAAATACTTCTCATATCCCTGATACCATGATGTTTGATAAAACTCAACTTAACGAACCACAAGATATTGTCAACGTTTTTGCAGATTTTTTCCAGTCCACTACTCACCTTCCACAAAATTTACACCCCCAGACTCACCTGACTGCGCCTCATTACCCTTGAATATACCAATTATTACTGAGAAACAGGTTGTTGATGCCGCTTTAAAAAAGATTAAACCCAAGGTATCTTCCACTCCCAGCATTTTTACTAAAAGACTGTGCTTTTGTTTTAGCTGAGCTTTTAGCTTATCTGTATAACTCTGTCTCAATACTACAACATTTCCTATGGCTTGGTAAAAGCATCTAGGATTGCTCCCATATTTAAAAAAGGCGAACGTTGTGTCATTGAGAATTATAGAGCAGTTGCGATTATTAGCGACGTTGGTAAGGTTTTCGAATGTATATTGCATGATATAATTTTCTCCCATGTTAAGCACGAAATTTCTCCAAAACAACATGGTTTTTTCCAAGGCAGATCAACTTTAATTAATCTAGCGTATTTTAAACAGCTCTTCTCCGTAGTTGTTGATGAAGGGGGACAAGTAGATGTTGCTTACGTTAACTTTTCAGAGGCTTTTGATAAGCTAGATCACGGTATTTTTTTAAAGAAATTGATGGGGTTGATCCATCAATTCTTGAATTTTTTCAAATCCTATCTTACAAACAGATGCTTGAAAGTCGAATATACCGGCTTCATCTCCAGTCAGATTATACCTTCCTCAGGCGTACCTCAAAGGTCTGCTCTTGGCCCTTTGCTGTTCCAAATTTTTATTGATGACGTCATTGGGGAGCTAAGATTGAAACCATGGATAACTGTAATATATTGCAAAACGACTTGAGCAACCTAAATAAGTGGTGTCACCGTAACAAGCTGTACCTTAATGCTGATAAATGCTACACTACAGGTATGTCTATTACGCGCAAACTTCTTCCAATCAGATTCATACGTGTATATAACACCGATAATTCGCAACTTAACATGTGTGAAGAGTTTCATGACTTAGGTATATTATTTGATACCAAACTTATATTTGTTTCGCATATTAATTCTGTTGTTAGCAAGGCCTAAAAAAGGTTGGTTCAGTTTGAAGATTTATTGATTTAAAGCTTAAATAAAACTAATAGATCATCATTAGCGGAGATCAATACATTTGGCAGTAAAGTAATTTAAAAATGAAGAATGAACCGACCCGTTAGGCAAGTAAATGTTGAAAATGGCCACCATGGCTCTCCATGCAATAATAAAGATTTTGCTCAAAACGTTGCCGCACATTTTGAAATATTTGAGGAGTAATTTGAAGGCACTCATTCACAATTCTTTGTCGCAGGTCTTCTAATGATGTTGGCTGAGTAGCATAGATTTTGCTTTTTAAATGACCCCACATAAAGAAATCCAAAGGTGATAAATCTGGCGACCTTGGAGGCCATTCAATGGCACCTCTTCTACCAATCCATCGATCTGGAAACGTCTGATCTAAATATTGCCGAACACGTAATGCGTAATGTGGTCGGGCACCATCCTGTTGGAACATCAACCTATGGGGTTTCCTGATGCTGTCTACAGTACCACCACATGTCACCTAATCCTACGTCCGACAGCTTCATTTGCCTGCTTTGATGATAATATCATGTTAGGGGATCCAACGTGGTCTTCGTGGTCTTCCTATAACCCTTTCACCTGCTTTTGCGCAAACAAGTCATTTTTCTATGGATATGATCCAATGTTTTATGTGGTCACTCACCGAATGTAAGTTTGAGGAGACCCTGGACGTACCAGAGTTCACCATGAGTGAGCGGGAAAGAGCTGCAACGCACTTAAAAACAGGTAAGGCACCAGGACTAGATGAAATGCTGAACGAGATCGTGAAAGCGCTGATCAAAAAGATACTGTCTGTGATGAATGAATGACTTAGAACGGGAGTCTTTCCGAAGAGGTGGAAGGACGCTGGTTTTGCACCCATACCAAAACCTCTGAAATTCACCGATTGGGAGGTCAAATATAAGCTTCTGTGTATGCTGAGTTTACTTGCAAAAAGTAAGGGTTGTCTCTCCCTCGCAATATGGTTTCAGAAAGAGAAATTATTCCTTTGATGCACTTAATGCAGTGACACAGGTGGCGAAAGTAGCGGATAGCCGCTGCTACAGTAGTAAGAAGCTTTGCGTTACGGTTGCTTTTGACGTTAATACGGCACAATGGCACAAAATCGTCGACGGGTTGGCATGGAAATACTGTCGAGTTTTACTGCCTGAGAGTGGTTATCAAAGCTTTCCCCTGTCACAAGAAAAATTATGTAACCACGTTCAGGCTGTTGTATAGTAGCTGAGAAAAGAAAAGCAAAGCTGTTGTATAGTAGCGAAGAAAATAAATGACAAACGAACTGCTAACAGGAAGTCAGACAAGCGTAAAACATATTGTCATTTCCAATGATCCTAAACATTGAAAAAATGTGTCAATTGGTTGAGTCAGCACTCACTTTGTAACGCCATCATCAGTTCATAAAGGATTAGTTTCAGCACGAGTTAAAGCCTCTGAGAAAAATTAGTTACGAACAAGTACAGTAGTCGATTAAACAGCCATTCTTTCCCTGAACTATCGGTAGTTACCGTCCATCTGGCAATGTCGCCCTTCCCCTATCGTTAGACACGGCAACGCCGTAGTACGAGCCCAGCAATCAAGCAGACCGTTACGCCGGTCACAGAAGGTAACATGTATCAAAACCATGTCCCTCTCAAGTTTTAAAGACAAATAT